AATGCTTCACTTGCATGATCTCATTTGATTCTTTTGTCTCCTCCATGAGGTAGGCACTGTTGTTACTCCCTTTTAGGCACCTTGTCTAATGGTGGTGCAGCTAGTGAGAGGAACCAAGACTGAATCCCAGTCCCTCTGCCTTAGATCCTGCGCTCACCACTGGACTACACTGCCACCCACTCTTCTTGCTTGGCAGCCCAGGGAGACTGGGTCTCTCTGCTTCGTGGCCTGGGTTCAGGATTCTGGTGACATTGGGAATGGGGAAGGAGATCAGTTCTCCTGGGATAAAGGCCATCCATAGCCTTTCTATTTCTCTATCTTTATTGTCTCCCAGTTCCAGAAATGGCTGGTCTGTTCCCTTCCCCTGCTGTCACCTGTTGATTGCCTCCAATCAAGGCTTCCTCACCTATGGTGGAACAGAACGGGTCTACTGGTCCTGCTCCCACACTCCTGTCCTCAAAGCTAGCAGAAAGCCTTCCTTGGGCTTTCTAAGAGTTATATATATGCTGTACATGCAAAGAATGGGCATACTAGTAGATGCCAATGACAGGCCTTTATGGGTTTTATGGAGTCTGGAGACCGAGAGTAACTTTGCCCCCTATCTCATTACTTGGGAGAAGGGAGGGGCCTCAGTCATGCCTGCTACCTACATGGGTGGGTGGACTGGTCCAGTCAGCAGCCCAGTGAGAAGCAGGGGGAGCTCAATGACGGCCTCCCCGGTGTGCTCTGCACTGCTGAGTTCAAAGGTTCAAAAATGACTGAAACATGGCCCCTGCCCTTGGAGCTTACCTCTCGGAGAGGAAACAGGCAGGAAAGGGTAATTTCACTTTCAGTGGGGTGTTAACTAGAGGTGAGCGCAGAGGAGGGGCCAATAAGCCCAACGCTGAGGTGACATTTGAGCTCAGTCTTCATGGTGAACAGTGGTGAGAAAGAACCGTGTGTCAGGCTGAGGGAATGGCATCAATGAAACTTTCCAGAGTGAAATGCAAAGGTGTATTAGGAGGGACCACAGAGAGTTTGGTTGGCAAACCTGAACACATAGGAGAGTTCCTGAGACATGACCCTTAAATGTCAGTCCAATTAGTGGAGTATAGAGTATGAGGTGGTGATGAGTCTGAAGCCATTTATGGGTGTGTGTATAAGAAAACAGAGGTAGATGGTGGTCAGTGGTCATAAACACTTAGAATTTATCGTATACTAACGACATGCCAGGCACCTATGCTGAGTACTTTATATGGATTAATTTAGTTAATCCTCACAAGAGTCCTATGAGGAAGATACTCCTATTCCTTGATGAGGAAAGTGAGGTCCAAGATCTCACAGCTTGTCAGAGATAGAACTGGGATTTGAACTATCTGAGTCTGGTTCCAGAACCTGCCTTAACTGTTGCCCCGAATTGCCTGTCTGAAGGCTGTGAAAGTGGTGACACGGTCAAGCCTGCTTTTAAAGTAGACCGTGCTGGCTGAAATGCGGAGAGTGGATATAAAGGGGAAAGGAGGCTCATGGGCCTGCTGGGGCTGTGTGCCAGCATTGTGTAGATGCACTTACATCATCTCATTTAATCCTCCTAACCCTCTGTAGGTTGGTATTATTCGAGTTGGGGAAGCTGAAGGTCAGAGTAGTTGAATAACTTGCCCCAGATCACTCAGCTAGAAAGGAGTAGAACTGGTTTGAGTCCAGAGCCCACGTCTTCTGCAGGCAGTCTTCGCCTGCCCTCTACCAAAACACCCCACAGAAACAACAAAGCACCCCACAGAAACGACAACACACCGAGGCCGTCCTGTGGTCGGAGGTGTTACTTCCCCTCTGAGTTCCACCTTCTCAGTTTCTGTGGCGCTGAGTGTGTGTCAGTAGAGCTTTGCTCCCCACGTCCTTCGAGTTCCTTCCTGGCTCACCTGAAGCATTCATCCCCCTCACCCTCCATCCTGGGGACACGCAGAAGGCTCTGTGTTGAGTCCCAGCTGCAGTCGTGGCCCCTTGGGGAGCAGGCCTGTCCGTCAGGTGGACCAGCCCATTTCGGCCTGAGCTCGCTTTCCTATGCATTTGGCTCTCAGAGTGCTGTATCGAAGGTCTTTGTTTTTAATCATAATAACAGTTCACCTATTTTCTTTCCGTGCTGATCAGCGGGAGCCAGCTGGGGGTGGTAGCAAATCTTCCTTTAATTTCAACTGTGATGGATTATCACTTCCCATAAAACGGTGTTTAATTAGTACCTGTGCACAAAGGTTTTTAACTATTGAGCTCATTTGATTATTATTGGGAATCAGTATGTTGGCGTTAGGAAGCTCCATGGAGCCTGTAGCCCCATACCCTTAATTTCTTCCTTAAAAAAACAACAACACGCACCTCAACTATGTTATATTCCTTCCTACAAACCAGCTAAAAGAAGCTTTAAAATTTTTCCCACAAGAGGGAAGAAGGTAGTTATTTTCCCGTCCCTGACCGGCATCTGTTTTCCTCTTGTTCGGCCTCTTCTTTCTTCTCAGGCACAAGGACCTTTCTTGATGCTGCTTCCTTCACCTTGCTTTGCACTCACCCCCCTCATCCCTTCTAGTTTGCCTTGTACCACTTGAACAAGATTCATATTGCAGCACCATACTTTTTCTTTCCTTCCTTCTTGGGGCAGGATTCAGCTTTCAGGTGCTGTGCCTTCTGGTGCAGGAGCGAGAAGGCAGGGACTGGAGCAGCGCAGACCAGCGGCTGCTGTCTGGGCTCCCCAGGGCCTTTCCTAGCACCGGGCAGCCTGGGACATTGCCTACATGGCTGGCTTTTCTCTTGTCTTTTCAAGTTCAGAGCTGTGGTGTGCAGTGAATGTGTGTGCGTGGGTATGTGTTTGTATGGGACATAGGTTTAATACAGGCTGTGTAAATGCCTATTGCTCAGAAGGTGGCTTTGAATACAATACGTTTTGCGATTCAGATTTAAAGCAGAGCAAAACCAGAAACCCCTGCCTACAAACTTTTTTTTTTGGTTTCCTGCAGAAGAGAAGTGAGAGAAGAAATAATTCTACTCTGGGGAAATGCATAATTTAGAAGCCGGCTGCGTGTATAAGAAAACAGACCCTGTGGCTGCTCTATAAACCCAGACTGGCAGCCTGGGCTCTTTGTTTCCTTTTCGTCCCTCAGTGTTTGTCTAAGACTGAGGAGCCCCGTGCTCTCCGTGCTCCCCACTGGGCAGCGAAGGCATGGCCTCGGGGGCGGCCGGCCCTGAGCAAGCCTCCTGTTCGCTTCTGTTCCTACCCTGCAAACACTCGAATACTCGGACTCTTCCTTTCCTGGGAATGCTGTTCTTCCTGAGAGAGGGAGAGGAGCATTGGGAAGCGCAAGGGCATTTCAGGAAACCAAGTACCCTGTGGTACTTGAACACAGAAGAGCCTTGCTATCCCATGGGCTTTGGTTCTACCCACTCCCAGAGTGGGCCCAGCGGGAGGTGAATGGGACCTGCAGCCAAGGGCCATGTCTCTTCCTGCCGCATCTCCCGCTGTGGCCAGGCCCAACACTGAGTCAATCAGTTGTCACCTCCATAGTCTTCAAGTTATTTTATAATGTTCAGTTTAACCAGATTTCACAGCTTTCAAAAGAGACTGTGCAGGGAAGACTGGGCCCCCACAGGCCTGAATTCCTTCAACAATGGGACATCTCATGGATGTGGACCCTGCTTGTCTCGGGGGTGCACAAGGGACAGGCAGGATAAGGGTAGTGACCACTGTTGTCCTTCAGGCCAGTGCCGGCGGTGGGATTGACCACTCAGGAAGATGGAGTTCCGGGTTGCAGTGGCCTTCAGTGGCTGCTGGGGCGGGGGGGGCGGGGGGGGGTGTGGTGGTGGGGTGATGATGTCAGGGGGGAGGGCAGCCTCCCTTGGGAAGATTTGATTCCAGTGAGGTTTAGAGGAAAAAGAACTATGATTTGCAGACTTTCTCTAGATAGCCAGATGGATTCCAGACATAATCCAGCCAGGAAGATTGGTTTTGTTTATCTTCCTCACCGTCTCTCTAAATAATTTTATCTTCAAAGCCTGACACAGGTGGTAATTAACACTCTGGTTCTCCTTGGAGGGAGGCAAGTGGGAACACCACCCCCGGTAGTGAAGCTCAGGGACTAGGCGGGTCCAGAAGCCTCAGGCAGGTGAGCCTGAGCAGGCAGAGGGAGGCTTAGACCTAGGGGCCCTCTGACCTTTACTTGGACACACCCTGGGAGCCATCCCACAGTCTGTGTCCTTGGTCCCCAATAGAACAAAGGAGCCGAGGTTCTGATAGAGAGATTTGGCACCGTGGGATGAGTAAGGGGAAGGTTGAGGGTTGAGGAGGAATTCTGGTACAATTCACTATCATTGTGAATTTTAGGTGCAGGAGTTTATTTCATTGGTTTCATTTATTCACTTGAGGGTTTTTTGTTTGCTTGCTGGCTTGCTTGTTTTTAATATACTAAGCATCTACTTCTGGGCAAGATAGGGCAAAGGGAATTACTTCTCCCAACAATGCTGGCCAGCCATGAGGGCCCTGGCTGGTTGGGAACTTGGTCCTTTGTATCCCATGCTTAGTGTGGGGCGTATTGGAGTTCACGTGTTGGAAATGGATGAGAAATCCAGATGTGACTGTTGATGTAGTGACTCTCTGGAGGCTGCATTTCTCCTTTCACTCCTGCCATTTATCTTAGTTGGCTTAGGAGAGGGGGGCCCTAGGAGCCCTCTCCCAGGGGCTACAGGTAGCACATTTACGCCTGGCCTGTTGCAGGGCTCCCTAGAATGGTGATCATGCCAGTTTGCTGTATGTCGGTGGAGGGACTGCTGAGAGCCCTGAACGTCCAACTCGAGGAAAGCAGCAGTTCTGGGATCTCCGGTGGCTTCTTTCTCCTTCATGGGGCATCTTGACACAGTGCAAGAAGCAGAAGGGGGTCATTTCATCCTATAACTGTTGCCCTCCTGGTGGCAGTTGGACTCACTTGCTTTGCAGGAAGCTCAGCTCCATCAGCTAATGATATTCCCTTATCTTGGTACTGCAGGCTGCTGAGCACCGGCCGGAGACCTCTGCTTGAGGGTCCTTCCTCTGAAGACATCGCCAGTGTGTGGAGCCCGCCCCACACCCACTCCCTGCCACACCACGGCCTTTACCTGTGTCTTCCGGTGTTTCCCCTGCGACCCGTCCTGTGGGAGTGCCTCGTGGGCTGCCCCAGAGTTCACCCCACGCTCAGCGGCGCCAATGGTGAAGATGACAAGATCCAAGACTTTCCAGGCCTATCTGCCTTCCTGCCACCGGACCTACAGCTGCATTCACTGCAGAGCCCACTTGGCCAATCATGATGAACTCATTTCCAAGGTACACGGTTCCCTGCAGGCCTGCCTTGCCTTCCCCGGGGGAGGGCACGTCCTGCCCCTAAAGGTGCAGAAGGTTACAAGCTCTCCAAGAGCCTGGGTATTGGTGCTGCATCTTCCATACCAGGGGAGGAGGTGTGGGAGTTAGGGAGGGGCTGACCCACATGGCTGTCTCATCCAACTGAGAAATAACTGAGTTGGGGAGGGCGTGTGCTAGTTTGTTATTTTGGAAATTGGATGCCATCCCTGTTGGAGGCTGTGGGGAATGGTGGCTCGCAGGCCAGAGGGGAAAGGGGCTAAGGAGGGATTGGAGTCTTTGGCTTGGCTTGCTTGGCGTAGGTTGGCAGACGAACATGGTCTAGAATGCTGCCTGCCTGGAAAGCAAGTTGGAAGAAAGTTGGTGGGGCCAGGATGTCTTGTAGTGGGTTCTTAGCTGAGATGAGTTGAGGATACTGCCTTTCAAGGTCATGAGACTGTTGACTTTGGGGAGGACCAGAGTGACTTGGTGAAGAGCTGACTCACTGGCCTGTGGGGACCATTAGGACCTTAACATGGCATTTGATCCCAATTAGAAGAGAAAATGGAACCCTATTTTCCAGAGGAGCCTTGGCAACTGCTTCTTAAAGTTGGGGTGGGGGTAGGAGGATATGAAAAAATAAATAAACCCAACAGCTCCATTGTACAGTCTAGGAACTGGCGCCTTCAAGCAGCACTCCCAGGGGAGCTGCTTCCCTCCTGGCCCTGAATTCCTACGGGAGGAGAAACAGGTTTTACGAGGCTACATAAAAAGGAGAAAGAGATCACGGAGGACTTTTCCCTTAAAAAAAAAACAAAAACTCCTTCCTCTGAACCTGTACTACATGCCAAAAAAAAAAAAAACTCCTTCCTCTGAACCTGTACTACATGCCATTCAAGCAAAAAAAAAGAGAAAGAAAAAAGATAAAAAGAAACAAACAAGCCTTTATGCAGACCCAGACTAAGTTTTAAAAAAAATGCTAGAAAAGGTGGCATCGTTTTCCCTGCCCCGGGCCTGGGAGCCCCAGCCAGACAGGGAGGAAGGAGCAGCAGTTCTACAACAGTCGTGTCCAGCTGGCTGACCCACCAGGACATGAGGAAGGCTGCTGAACAACCACGTGTGGTGGAGGGATTCTTAAGTCAGGACCCGGGTTGGACCTCCTCCTCCTAGGCCTATTCCAGGGTCTAGGGTTACCACAGACCTTGAACCCTGGAGCCCTCTGAGTCCTGGCACCTGGCCCACTTCCCTTCTCTGGGTTTCTTCCAGTTACTCTCCTTCCTGCTGTTTCTGCTTCAGCCAGCCCATAGCTTCCTCCTCTGTCACCTAACTCGTGTTGTCTCAGATGCCTTGGATCTTACGGGAACCCCTTGAGTGTGGAAGTTTGGATGGGGGAGGCTGTGTCAGCGAGGGAAGACAGGATTCAGTCCTTTTTGCTTTGGAAGAGTGCCTGCAAGCTTGAAGGGAAAATGTGAGTTGTCCTATTTCTGAAAACCTCCAGAGAAAGTGGAAGCCAAGACATTTTTTTTTTAATACCAGGAAGAAGTGCTCTGTATCATAAGAAATTGAGGGACCAGTGAAATGTATTTTAGCGCCTTCTCTGTCCTAAAGTCCTGCTACTTGACACTTTGTTATCTCACTTAACCTTCATAAGAAGCCTTTAAAGTAGGTGACATTATTCATATTTCATTTTTTAAAATACCTTCAGGCTTCTTTTTCCCCCTTTAAATATGTTTTTTTTTATTGATATTTTTTTTTAGGGAGAGAGAGAGAGAGAGAGGAAGGGGGGAGGGAGAGAGAGATAGACACATCAATGAGAGAGAAACATCAACATCGATCCACTGCCTCCTGCACACTCCCTGCTAGGGATTGAGCCTACAACCCAGGCATGTGTCCCAATTGGAAATCAAACCACAGACCTCTTGATGTATGGTTTGATACTCAACCACTGAGCCACACCGGTTGGGCGATACTAGTCATATTTTATGTGGATGGAGAAGTTGAGAGTTATAAATGTTGCCCAAGAACTTAAATTGGAGGCTCAAAAAAGAGAGCAATTACTTTGAGCATGTTTAAGAAGGATTTCTGGAAGAAGTAGGCCCTGTAGGATAGGCTGAAGTGACTATGGGGAGATGGCAATCAAAGTCACTCTCATCTCTGGCCTGGTATACGGGGTCTTGGATGATCTGGCAGAGCCAACCTTTTGAGTTAGGGCTCCCGCCAGTTCCTTGCTTTATGTTCCAACCACTTGGAACTAAGCAGCAATCCCTAAATATACAGACAGGATTTCAGGCTGCTGTGCCTCAGCCAAGGGCAGCCCTTTCCCCTCACCTTCCTCTCTCCCAGGAGCCCCTACACAGTCTTCTCCACCTGGGACCATTGCCTACTAGCTTTGTATCCTCTGGGTCAGAATCCCACCCAAGGCAAGAGCTCAATAAATGATCAAATACATGGATGGATGGAGCCTGACCTTTGGGAGAAGACAAGTGACGAGCAAGAGAGACTTTGTTGGCCTCATGCCCTCTCTCCTGGGCCTTCTGGGGCAAAAAGGCTCATTCACAAATCCAGGCCAAAGTCAGCACAGGCTTTAGTTTCATTGGCCACAACCGGTGCACAGATGGGGTGCATTAGAGCTTGATGATTTAAAGAGTTGGGTTAAATGCCTGGCTGTGGGTTAGGACTGAGGGAACTGTGGCTGGCACCACACAAAGTTTCCTTTATTTCACTCCCCAGCCACCCCCGGCGTTAAGTAATCTATAGATTCTTCTGCAGGTCCGCTTAACAGGAAGATCATTGCCCCAGCCCCCTCCTTGGAAAATGGGCCTTTCTTTTCATTTTGTTTCTCCCTTCCATCTAAGAAAGTCCAGGGAGAGAATGTTTCTCCTGTTCTCCCCCCTTGAGGTAATCTGTGTGGTTTCAGGGTCAGCCCCGTGGGAGTTAGGCACTGGGAAGCAGATAACTGGGGCAGCCGTGTAATTAAACGATACGTTGTGCTTGTAATAGAGCCTTTGATCTGGAAGCTTGACATTCCATTGTTTGGTCTGAAAAAAGAAAAGATGACAGAAAGGTCCAGAGAACTGCAGCCCTGAGTGTTTGGCCAGCAGAGAACAGGGGATGGTACCAAGACTTTGGGCTCCCTTCCTCCCAGTGTGACTAAGCCCACATGGAAATGCATAGTTGTCAAAGGATTTGAACAATTAGGGCCATATTGGCATGTGGGGTAAAGAATCCTGCACCGAGTGGTCCACCTTCCCAGCTTGCTCTAGATCCCCAGACGCCTGGCATCAACTGTCCAGCCTCTGATTCCCAGCCCCTCACTAATCAGAGGGGTGAGATGATATTTGTTTCTAATGCCTAGTAGCTGGCACTGTGCTCACTGTGTGCTCTCTTCCTGACAGTGCTGAGTGGTAAGTGTACCTTACTGTGGTGGAGGGGGAGCAGGTTTACCTCACTGGGTTGCTATGAGGCTGGATGAGATCATAGATGTGTGGGTGGTTTGTAAATCAAAGAAAGCTCTATGCAAGTATAAAGTGGTTCCTCTGCTTCTCTTGGCCTTGCTGTCCAAAAAAAAAAAAAAAAAAAAGAAAAGAAAAAGAAGAAAGAAAAAAGGAAAGACAAGGGGTGGGGTGGAGGGGATTGTTCCTGCTGACACCAAGCAAATTTCCATGAGCCAAGATAGTTTCCCTTTAGACCATGGAGCACAGGAGTTAGACAAGGAGGAAAAGGAAATAGAAGAAATCGACAGCAAAGATGCACGTGTCTGCAGAAAGGTAACAGCTTTCGCTCGGTGGGATGATGGCTGGGGGTGGGTAGGTGAGTCGATGAGAGAACTATCTGGGGAATGTGCTGAGGCATCATCCTACAGCTTCTTTCTTGGGGGTGTTGTGCTCTGAGTGTTTGCCTGCAGAGGTGTTTTGAGTTGGCATGAGGAATTGCTCACACTGTAGTTTCTTACTTAATGGTGCAAGCCCCAGGATAAAGTTATACCTGGGTTATAAATAATAATGGTTTCCATTGGACCCGTTAGTTGCCCTGAGTAAGAACCATCCAACGCTCATTTCAGTGGGGACTATTATGGGAACCTGGATCTTCACAAAGCTTTTCCCTGAAAACTTCCTCTGTCGTCGTCATTCCCTTCCCTCCCACCTGCTAACCCTACCGTGGCATCCTGGAGTAGGCCATTTGGGAATAGTGAGTTGGGTTCATCTATCACAATCCCACTCTAAGGACAGTGGCTTCATTTGGAGACACTGGCTGCTTTAGTTACTGCTCTGGGTCCTTGGAGGGAAGGTGTAGGAGGCTCTGGAGTGTGGGGGGTGGGGAGTCCAGTGAAGGCAACAGGAAGAAATCTTTTGCTCACTCTCTCAAACTATTTTTACTATGTCAAACCTTTAGGTCAGTTATCTTCTGGTGACAGATACAAAATTCCCAGAGTTGCAGGTCACTGATGAGCTCAGCCCCTCTTCATGAGGAAACAGGCCATGGGCCACTCAGTGACCAACTGAGGTTCCATAGCCTCAAAACCGCACCCCTCAGCTGCACTCCGTGGGAAGAGTCTGCCTCAGCTGCTTCCTTCTCAGCTGGGGAGCTCCTAGGAGGCAGGTTCTTTTTGTTCCCTCTGGGGTTCCATCAGGCTTACCGTGGTAGCATTTGGGTTTTCCCTTCGTGCCTAGACATTAGACGAAGTGTTTCTGTCATCATTCAGAGCAAGACCTTCTAAAGGCTTGTGTGGATTTGTTCCCATTTTGTTTTTTTACTTCAAAATAAGATATTTGCAGTGTGCATAGAAATTTGTTCATAGTTTTTTTTTAAACTATAGTCCGGCCCTCCAGCGGTCTGAGGGACAGTGAACTGGCCCCCTGTTTAAAAAGTTTGAGGACCTCTGCATTAGACCAAGTGTTTCTGTCATCATTCAGAGCAAGACCTTCTGAAGGCTTGTGTGGATCTCACAGTTGCTGAGAGGCCACTCTACCTCAGTTTCCCAGCTCTGC